CAGCATCTAGTGACATGGGGACTGACAGCATCTAGTGACATGGGGACTGACAGCATCTAGTGACATGGGACTGACAGTATCTAATGACATGGGGACTGACAGCATCTAATGACATGGGGACTGACAGCATCTAGTGACATGGGGACTGACAACATCTAGTGACATGGGGACTGACAGCATCTAGTGACATGGGAGACAGTTGTTGGTGACATCTAGTGACATGGGGACTGAGAGCTGTACATCAGAGCTGTCATCTCTTGGCCACTCAACCACTTGCTAATCGTCTACTTGTCATACGTACAGCCACCCAGCCGTCCACTTGTCATCTATCCATCCAGCCGTCCACTTGTCATCTATCCACCTAGCCGTCCACTTGTCATCTATCCACCCAGCCGTCCACTTGTCATCCATCCACCCAGCCGTCCACTTGTCATCTATCCATCCAGCCGTCCACTTGTCATCTATCCACTCAACCGTCCACTTGTCATCCGTACAGCCACCCAGCCGTCCACTTGGAATCTACCCACCCAGCCGTCCACTTGTCATCTATCCACTCAACCGTCCACTTGTCATCCGTACAGCCACCCAGCCGTCCACTTGTCATCTACCCACCCAACCGTCCACTTGTCATCTATCCACCCAACCGTCCACTAGTCATCTATCCACCAAACCGTCCACTTGTCATCTACCCACCCAACCGTCCACTTGTCATAAACCCACCCAACCGTCCACTTGTCATCTACCCACCCAACCGTCCACTTGTCATCTATCTACCCAACCGTCCACTTGTCATCTACCCACCCAACCGTCCACTTGTCATCTATCTACCCAACCGTCCACTTGTCATCTACCCACCCAACCGTCCACTTGTCATCTACCCACCCACTTGTCATCCCTAACCCCTTTCATCCCACCGCCCAAAGTGTTGATTGAAATATTTACCTATTTGAAGCAAATATTCAATCGTGACCAAGTTTGCCGTGTACTAGCTAGGTAATTACCTCCCCTCAAGGCCCTGCCATGTTTCACATAATCAGCTCATTACGCGTGCTTTCGTTTTGTTCAAATAGACGCCCCGAGGACGTCCGCGCCCTTAGGACGTCCGCGCCCCCAGAGGCTGCCCCCCCCCCCCCCCCCCCCGAAATAAATGTATCCATAAAATTCAACTGATTGTTCGGCTAAAAAGTCAATTACAAGAGCGGGGCGGGGAAGGTGGGGGAGACGCGAACAAAATACATTATTGGAAAATTGAGTATTTGAGCAGCAGCGGCTGGGGAGGGGGGATAACTAGGGTGGATAGTGGGAAGGGGGGATAACTAGGGTGGAGAGGGGGGAGGGGGGATAACTTGGCTTAATAGCGGGGTGGGGTGATAACCTGGCATGATAGAGGGGAGGGTAAATAACTGACGTGGTTAGTGATATGAATGTGGAGGGGAATGTATATCGGCCTACGTTATATGTTTACGTGGGGGGTGGGGGTAGGTCTGTGCTTGTGGGGATGAGAAAAATAAATTGTTCTAATAGCTTAATTATTTATAATTACATTCTCAAATGTAGTCAAACGTTTTTCGTAGATCTTGATATATAATTTATAAAGTCACGTTTTTTTAAAATTACTTGCAAACATTTGCGGTCTCACTCATCGCCATTTTTTCACTGGAGAGTTGAAGAGCGTCCAGTCGAGATTTCCGGTTATTCCAGAGTCTGCTGCCCCAGGGTCCTCCCCCACCCCGCGCCCTATCGCCTTCGAGGGTGCTTGTCAGCCAACTGAGAAAATACGTCACAAGCTCCAGTGCCGGGCGATCTCTGGCCGTCAGTGGGAGAACAGGGGTCAGAGGGTCAAGGATACAATCTCAAGGCCGTTGGGGGCACTTTTTAACAGGGAGGGGGGAGATCACTTGTGTAAATGTAAGGGTCATCCTAACCCATCTAGCCAGAATTTAGTTTTATACTGGCAGTGGATACGTATGTGTGTGGGGGTGAATAACGAATGTTTTTTTTAAAGGGGGGGGGGGGGGCACCTTATATAAAAGGTAGACAGGGGGGGGGGGTCATCTAGCCCCAACTAACAAGTATATTATTTTAATGTCTGATGACGTATGACCCACGTGAAATTCACAAAAAGTTGGAGAATCCAATCAATTTTTTTACACACGAAAACAAAAACAAAATTAAATTAATTGATGTCACAGCCTGTCACGTGGTCATGTAGCTCCTCCCACCAGGGAAAGACAACTTCTTGTTTCCCGCGCTGAGAGGCCTGGCAGACGCCGTCCTTACCGAAAGACGAGGTCATGTGATTTCCCCCAACCCTCGACAACCCTTGTTGCGATCTCGAAAAGATAAGGGGAGCTAAAACCCAGCGTACCTTTCAGCCGACTGACCTCCCCTTCTCAGACTGTAATAAGATTTCTATGCTATTTTTGTTGGAGTTTTCATCAGCGCTTAAGAAGATATATTTGGTCAGAGAGTTTAAGGTCAAATTATTTTAATTCCATATCCCTGTAAGATTGTAATATGGTTTAAATTTACATTTTTGGAAGTCAATCATTAAAATACATTTTTAAATAGCATTCACATTTTTGATCAAACATAAAAATTAAAGACTAATCTTGCTGTATGACAAACTAGACCACACAGACGTACTAACGACGTCATGTGTACGTTGACATACTTATGACGTCATGAGTAGGCTACGCTGATGTACAAATGTCAGATGAACTCAAATGTACTTATGACATGTGTACCCATGTAGGCCTTTTAATGTCAGGTGTGCTCAGATGTACAAATGATGTTAGGTTACTCGTGTGCTAATGACGTCAATGTTGTCTGTATTCCGATATCCTTACGACGTTGTTTGTAGTCCGATTACTTATGACGTACAATGTACCCAGATACCTTACAGATTACATATGCTGTTTGTCCACATCGTTATCAGACGCAGGCATCTAAGTGACATCTTGTAAACATGTCATTTTGTGGCATCTATATCATGTACTAGAATACCCGTCATCCGTTGGATAACTGTGGGTTTCGGGGGTCATCCATAAAAAAACATCACGTCTGTCACTCAGAGGCATAGCGACCCTTCCCGGCGCCCGGGGACAAACTTTTCGATTTTAACCCCCCCCCCCCCCCCCCCCCCAAGATTTCGATTTTCAACCCCCCCCCCTCAAACTTTCGATTTGCACCCCCCTCAACCTTTCAATTTATTTTTCCAAACCATTTTGGCGCCCCAACATATGTCCCCCCGCCCCCCCTCCACCTCCCCCCGCCTCCCCTTCCCCCCCCCCCCGCCTCCCCCCTCCCCCCCGCCTCCCCTCCCGCCCCCCCCCCCTCCTCGCTACGCTACTGCAGTGTCACTTATGGTCACAAAAAACAGACCCCACATTCAAAAATATGTTTTTTATCTTTTAAAAACACCGAAAACACCGATTTCGGACTATCCCTTCATATACTGACGTCACATGTGACCTACTCAACTCTACTTCACCTGCCCAGTGTCCCGCCAAGTCTCAGACAACTTGTTTTTATCGTTTAAAAAACGATTCCAGCCGAGCATGTCTCTGACCACACTATCCTTTCATATGCTTAGGACAAAGAAACAGATGAACTCTACTTCACCTGCCCTGTATCCTGCCAAGTTCAGATAGGCAACTTTATCATTCACATCTAAAAAAAAAATATTGAAAAAAAAATATCATTGACATATTGGTCTAGAACCTGTGCCACCCACATGAGAGCGGGCTACGCTACCAACTTAGCTATTTACTCGTGACGTCACAAATGAATTTTTATACTATACTTTTGAGTCTCCGCGCATAGATCTAGTAGTAGTAACTTTCAAATTAAATTTAATCTTAAATTAGCCAAACAAAGATTTATATAAAATAATTAAGGCCTGAAATAGATTCTAGATGTATTAAGGCCTGAAATAGATTCTAGATGTAGAATTTACATTAAGTCTAGATCTAGAATTTACACTGAGTCTAGTAGTGACCTAGAATCTAGATCTAGGCTAGATCTAGGCTAGATTCATAACTTCCATTCGACAGCTGATCTTTAGATCTAGAGAAATTTATCGTAAAACTAAATGAAAAAGACAGTTGAAAATTGATATAAGTGTTGGAACGTAATAAATACAGCAAACGGACGTATTGTTTAAGTTATAGCCGGCAGAAAATTAGCTTTGTAACGCGTTAAACTTTTGAATGGGCCACAAAGTCTATGATGAGTCCGCCATTTTTATTGAACCAAAAAGTAAACACATCAAGGGACGTCACTATCCCCACAAAGTTTATTCAAAGTATTAACATTTTTAAAAAAATACGGTTAATTTAACTATGAATAAATCAATAAATTAATTAACGTCTTTAAATAAATTTGTGATCAACAGTCTGTCTGCATTAAAAAATTATTCTCTACCAGCATACTATTTTACAGCTTTCCAGATAGAGTCGAACATATCACAATAGTCGATCAGGCAAACAAATAAATATTCAAACATGTAAACAAAGTTGAGTTTTAGTAGTATATAGATATAGATAGACACCTTGGTGGCAAATAAATTCAGTCACACCCCAATGGCATCCGGTGACATCTTGCCATAAGGAAGTCACCCATAGAAATACTTGTCTGAGAGTTGTCACCATAAACACATATGTGTGAGTGGTGTTACCAATAGATACCTTTGTATGAGAGGTGTCACCCTTGGAAGCTTTCGTTTGAAAGATGTCACCCATAAACACCTTTGTAGGTGTCACCTTTTGAAACCAACATAACAAAACCAACATAACAATTAAAAGGTTTGGCGAAACATTCCCCCCCCCCCTCCATACCCCCTTCTACAAACACCATCACTAGCCGTACCCCCCCCCCCCTCCCCACCCATCAAACAAAGGAAATGACCATTTGATTGTGACAAAGGAAATGACCATTTGATTGTGACCTGATCCGCGGGCTATGAATGTGGACCGAGTTCAAATATTGACAGTCTCTGGCTAGCTGTGCTGGTCACAGCGTGATTCCTGCAGGGTCCTTGTGCTGCAGGGGTCGGTGCTGCAGGGGTCGGGGTCCATGTACTTCAGGGGTCGGGGTCCATGTGCTGCAGGGGTCGGGGTCCATGTGTTACAGGGGTCGGGGGTTCTTGTGCTGTAGGGGTCGGGGGTCCTTGTGCTGCAGGGGTCGGGGTTCTTGTGCTGCAGGGGTCGGGGGTTCTTGTGCTGCAGGGGTCGGGGTTCTTGTGCTGTAGGGGTCGGGGGTCCTAGTGCTGCAGGGTCGGGGGTTCTTGTGCTGCAGGGGTCGGGGTTCTTGTGCTGCAGGGGTCGGGGTTCTTGTGCTGTAGGGGTCGGGGTTCTTGTGCTTCATGGGTCGGGGGTCCTTGTGCTGCAGGGGTCGGGGGTCCTTGAGTTGCTGTCCAAGGCCCACTCTATTTGTCTTCGGGGTGGGGTGTGTACCTCAGGGTGGGGACTACCTCAGGGTGGGGACTGTACCTCAGGGTGGGGACTGTACCTCAGGGTGGGGACTACCTCAGGGTGGGGACTGTACCTCGGGGTGGGGACTGTACCTCAGGGTGGGGAGCGTCTATGAATTCCTCAGCTGACCAGGGCCAGGCAGACCCCACGAAACGTCCGCTGGCTAATTGTCCCATCAGTCTTACGTCCACGCTCAAACGACCTGCGCGGCCATTGATCCGAGACGCGGCAGGCGACCGCCCATTGGCCGAGTTAATTTATGACGATTATCGCCTTCCCCTCCCCCATCCCCCCTGGCGTCTGTACCTGCATACCCCTCGTTTTAATCCAACCTCAAGATTACTAGACTAGGTAAAATTTTTAAAAAGCCGTCTTGTTTGTTAACTGGCTTTATTTTATGCTAGCCACTCAGAGGGGATTTTTTTTATTTATTTAATTGCCCTTTACAATAACACAAACTCTTCGAGGCAGAGTGAAGGTTTTTGTTTTATTTCAGTGTAATTGTGTTTTTATTTAATGAACTTCCAACTAATTAAAAATGTGTAAATAATCAAGAATCAAATAAAATTTAACACCCATCAAATACCAAACCAAGCAGACGCAGCAGCAAGAATATTTTAACACGACGCTTAGAGCACAGACTCAAATTTTATGAATTATTTGGGCAATTTTTGAAGGACAAAACATAGCAAATCTCTGCGGGCATATTGAGACACTCTCCTCCCCACCCCTTCCCTTCTTTAATTACTTCTCTTTCTCTACAATAAAAACATTCACAAAAACCCTACCCCCCACCCCTATTCCCCGACACCATATAAATCCCCCTCCCACCCGAGAATACCCCCCCCCCCCCCTTTTCAAGTCGTTGGCAGCCATATTTGCTGAGCTCCTCCAACGATAGGACAATCAATTTTTATCAAGCTCGGCCAGACCGTCTGAGGTGACGTGTTTGCAAGGGTAAAATATTGAAAAACACACCGGGACGTTTTTGTTATGCATTCGAGTTTGTTTGTGTTTGTTTTCGCTGCGCTTTGTTGTATTTATTGCTTGTTGATTCAATGATCCCGCTCTGTTGATTCTACAACTATTTATGGCACTCTTGTTATCAACGTTGCTTTCAAGTTTAATTGTAAAGTATGGCCGTGTTCAACAAAAAAAAAATTGATGAAAAAAATCAGGTAAACATTTCACCGAAAGAAAATGTTGACGGCCCTAATTTAATAACTGCGATTCTCTTAAAAATCAGTTTCTCTTCCAGAATCGTATTAAAAAAAATTGTATGCTAGAAACTTTGGTAAATTTTTTTTGTAGTGCTTTTGGGCATTTCTCCATAATCGAATCGTTAACGCTGGTAATATTTCTTGAACATTGAATGTTAAAAATAACATTAAAGCTGGCCTTTAACATAGCCATAACCAGTGGGGTATGCTGGCTGTGTTGAAAGGGGGTGGGGAGGTCGAGCTCTCTATGGATCCTTAAAATGGAAGTTGTCTCTCGCTGAACTAATCATTGCCTATGGTACTGCGTGTCGCTTTATGTTTGCAATCTTACAATGTCATAAAAAAAACAAAATATTTATATGTGTGTGTCTGTGTGTGTGTGCAAGCTGCCTACGCCACTAGTCATAAGCCTAATACCAGGTCTGACTAAAAATGTACTACTTCATGTAGTACTGGTAAAATGTATACCTTTTTTGTAAGTATTAAATGTAAAGGCCCACAACCAGATAATTCTTATCTAGAATATTTACTGTATAAGTATACAATCTAGTTATTTTAAAACATTTACTGTAGGTCTACAGCCTACCATAAATTTCTAATAAAATCTGTAGTGTGCATGCCTGCAGTAAGTAAAACACTACTCTGAAAGTGATACTAGTACGTTACCTAACCCTCTTCTACAGACTGATCCAATTCTTTAAGAAAATGTTGTTTGTCTGTTCACAATATGGATTCTTACATTCAAGCAGACCCAATTAAGACGATATTAACATACATTTTTATATTACATTTTGGTCAGCAGTGACAAGATGAAGTCGGTCTACTATCTAAAAATAGCCGCAATGATTTCTGTGTCAGAATGACCAAACACCTTGCTGTAAGACGATCACGTGACCATGCGCTGCACGTGAGTTCTCCCTTTCAATGGAGCTTTAAACCAACACCAAAGTGTATCTCGTTAATTTCATTAAGATGTCTTCCCCTACCCCAATACCCCCACCCATCACCCCCCCCCATCACCCCCCCCCCCCCCCACCAAAGTGTATCTCGTTAATTTCATTAAGATGTCTCCCCCTACCCCAATACCCCCACCCATCACCCCCTCCCCCCCCCCCCCCCACAGACACACTCCCTAACTACAATACAAAGAGCCTGACTGCAGGCTATGACCAGAGGGCCCCCTACCGTGCAGGCCCCTACCGTGCAGGCCCCTACCGTGCAGGCCCCTACCGTGCAGGCCCCTACCGTACAGGCCCCTACCGTGCAGGCCCCTACCGTGCCCATCTTAGCATTTCAGCCAGAAGCCTCTCAGGGTGACAAGACGGAATTGGCCGTCTCCCCCCCCCCCCCCCCCCCTCTTTCTGCCCCAAGGAATTAGAATATTTGTAAGACCCAGACAACTTCCGGGACTAATTGCGCCTTCCCCCCCCCCCCATCCTTTCTGTGTTATTTTCTTCTGACACAACGTATTCCATTATTTTAATCAAATATCAACAATAAAAATATTCCTAATTTTCAAAATTAAAACCAGCCACGAAGACCTCCATAATTTGAACTTGAAGTTTATTTTCAAATCTGCTAAATTCATATTCCACCATCTTAACACGCAACCAATTAGCTGAAGATTAATTTATCTCAACATAAAACAAAATTAATTGACCGGGGAGGTTGAGTTGACGGGAAGGGTGGTGAAGGTATTTGTTTTATACCCCCCCCCCCCCCCCAAACTAGGCCCACTAAGCTGATCAATAACAGGGGAGGGAACTAACACCGCACACTGAAGAACATTAACTTATTAATAAATTACCCCTCTTGATATCGTGTGTTTGTTTACACAAAAATATATTAGCTTCTTTTTTGTGTTGTAAAAGCAGTGACATTCATTGAAGGTTTGAAGAAAGAAAAAAAATTTGACCAGGGGAAGGGGTGGGGTGGCATGATTACATTCGATACGTACAAGATAAGCTTCCCTGTATACCCCTACACTAAAATTGTGTAAACACGGTTGAGAGGAACTCCATCCCACGGATTGTTTGCCAATGTTTTGATAGCGCCACCACGTTGGCTGATTATGTATGCGCACATTATGTGCGGCCTCGCCCACTTTTTATAAGCTTCATTTCCATTGGCTGGCCTAGGCGTGAAAGCGTACATTTTGAATCAGCCCACGTGGTCCTACTTCTTCTCCTCCACTAGGGCGTTTGTAGATAAGGGCCAATCACCCACTCCCTTATATGGCAAGGATATTTACACAGCACCATTGTCCGGACAGAGTTCCGGGTTACTGGCCGATGTGTGTGGTACTCGCTTGCCCCATTCATCTGCCTCTGGTCCGCATCGACCTTTTGTGCTGGACTGTTTTAGTATTCTGCTTTGTCTTTTTAAAAAAAATTACTATAGCTGTTTGAAGAGAAGGGAGGGTGGAGGGATACATTGCTTCCATGTTGAGCTGATCTTTTTTTTTTTTTTTTTTTTTGTTTAACCTACCCAAATGAAGTACACATCTAAAAATAAAACACACCCCAATTGTTTATCAAGTGATCTACGTAATTTTTTTTTCGCCAGACGAGGTGTGGAGAGAGGAATCACAAGGTTACACACAGTTTTCAATGAGTGTGTACAACGCCATGGCCTAGTTCACATGGCCTGCACTTGAACCAGACGAGGCCTCCACCTTTGTCGGTACTCTAACGCTCTCCCCCATCCCTCCCCCTTCCCCGAGTACAAGTGTGACCTAATTTTGAAAAGGTGAATATCAACAAGAGCAGATTTCATGCTTAGAAAATGTGGAATTCTTCAAGGTCAGGCCCATCGTTTATTTGTTGACTAGGCCCGCTACAGATAAAACACATACACATTTCTTAGCGAAGGATAGGCGATATCGCCGTGTTTTCTAAAGTTGTTTCCCTTTTCATCCTATTTGTTCAGCCGAAATAAAAGGGACTCGGAACTTTGTATCTACGTTTTTATTGAGGAGCTGCATGGGGGGCTAGTGGATGGCTTCTACGCTGGAATGTGGCTTCTGCGGTCAGTTGTCGGCTTGCAGTTCACATTCCATTTCTGCAGTAATCCTTGATGGAATGAATATTAATATAGTAGTCAATGTTTGCTCATATTTGCATATTTCAATTTTGACAAGTACAGAGATGCAAGCTCTTGATACAGCTGTAGGTTAGGGTTTAGCGTGAGGCTACGGGTTCAGCGTTAGGCTATGGGTTTAGCGAGATGATAGGGGTTCAGCGTGATGCTAGAGGTTTAACGTTTAAGGTTAGTGTGAGGTTAGGGGTTAAGCGTGAAGCTAGGGGTGCTCCGTGTTGATGGTTTACTGCCATCTTTGAAGTGTCCACCAGTACGATTTTAAAGTATCTATCGAGTTTATTATAGTCGGTATCGCTGTTTGGGCCAGAGTTAGTTTAGTGTTAAAGTCTAGTTTAGCGTAACCAGCGTTATATAGCTCTAGCTGTTTCTTATACAAGTGATCTTTTCTTTAAACACACTGGCTGCTTCTTATAACTGCTAACTGGCTGTTTCTTAAACACTTGATCTGACTGTTTCTTAAACACGTGATCTGGCTGTTTCTTAAACACGTGATCTGGCTGTTTCTTAAACACATGATCTGGCTGTTTCTTAAACACATGATCTGGCTGTTTCTTAAACACATGATCTGGCTGTTTCTTAAACACATGATCTGGCTGTTTCTTAAACACATGACCTGGTTGTTTCTTAAACACATGATCTGGCTGTTTCTTAAACACACGATCAGGCTGTTTCTTATAATCCGTGTTGTTGTTGTTCGCCCGCCTCTTTATCTCCTTCGTTTCGGACATAAAGTAGCTTTTTATTTTGAATAAAGCTGAGAGAATAATCCGCGAGAGAGGATTATCCCCCTGGCCCTGTCCTGAGATGAGCTCCCCTATTTCCGGCCGGTATCGATTGGTAAAAAGGATGCCTCGGTC